ACAGATTCAAGATGATCTGAATCCTCAATACTTTTGGGAAGTAAGCAGAATTAGCTAGAGAAGGTGGCTGAAAATGGAACTCAATCTTAAAAAAGAAAAGAAAATGAAAAGAAGGAGGTCTAACTACACATCTTCACACTGGCAAGAATTGGAATAGAGATTCTCAGTAGGAAAAGTGGGAATTGTAAAGAAAGTCAAAATGAAGAGCCAATTAAACAGTCTTTGAGATAATGAGAACATTCTTCATGCTAATGCTTCTAATTCCTAGAGATTGCCCATGGATCAAGTGTTAATATGTGAGATTGAAGAAGAGGAATTGAATACAAGGTGAATACTGCAACGGACTAGATGAAGAAGCACTGGGTTGGTCGCATTGAGTAGTTTCTGGGGGAAGGAATTACAATTATGATTTAACACTGTACAAAGTAAATGGATGCTGAGGTGGAGACATTTTATCAGTAGGAGTGTTGAATCACAACTCATTATCTGGAAAACTGAAAATTCTCCACACTGAAGCAACTAAACAATTGCAGTATAGATTCTGGTGGCATTGGTGGAAGCAGAAAGGAGCCTTTTTGGTACAAATATGAAGAAAGTGGAATTAATTATTCCCCCCGATGCTATGACTCCCAGATTTAGAAGAAGAATGGTATTTTATTTGACTTAATTCGGTTCGGAATTATTTTAGCAACAAAATGCATTCTTTCTTTCAAATCTGAAAGGCTGGTAAGAAGAAGCAATGCTATCCGAAAGAAACATGTATTCTTTACATGGACCTGATTTTATAATATTTTCTGCACCTCAAGAACTCCCAGCAAACAGGATAGTGTTGGATTAATAGTAAAATGGCCAAATGCTTTTTACTGTATTTGAGACTCAGAATAAATATGGAACCTCCACCTGGCTTCGCTTAAAATATCTATATTTTAGGAAGGCTTTATGCAATACCTGAAAGATCGATGACTTATTATAAGGAATATAAAAACTGGGCAGACAACGTGGTTCAGTGAAAATGACAAGAACTTGCTTCTACAGATTCACTGCATTTGTAGCCGTTATAACTATGACACTTTCAGTCAAAGCAATATATATATATATATATATTGTGGATTGAATAGAAAATGGCCTAATACTTCTGGACTGGAAGCACATCTGTATTATCCATACTCTATAGCTTTTATTTAAAGAGAGGCAGCGCAACAAGCAAAATGAAGACAATGACAGACCTAATTCCAGGTAATTATTGAATTTCTAACTGATACTTATTAGTTGATAAAAATTAATACACACAATGATATTTTAGTAAAAAATCATCTGGATAGGAAAATTGCAAAACCTGTCTTATCTGGGGCACACTGGATCGTATTATAATTATATGTAGAGACATTGATAAGAAGTCAAACTTGAAATCTAAAGTAAAGCACCATCAGGCTTTATTTATTTATATTTTAAAATTGATGACATATTTTGAAACAATTACTTTTGTAAGCAGAATTATAAACTCACCATTGAATGATGGTCATATTACCTTCTTCTAAAATATTGTACCATTATGGAGTTAGGTTGTTGCATCAGAGAATGAAAGACCAAAAGCATTTGTCTGTTAGCACTAGGGTAGAAGTGTACAAATCAGCTCCTTTCCTTTTCCCAAGAAGATTATTAAAATATTTTACTTGTAAAGATGTTTTATTTGGCTTTGATAATTTCTCATTTAAAACAGGATGTAGCTATGCTTATATGCTGTTTATTAAAAGAAACAATTACATATTTACACAATACCAATATTTATTTGTATCTACAGATAAATGTTTGAAAGATAACAGAAAAGATTCTAGTTTTATAAAGCCAAAGATTTTTCAAATGGCTTTCAAATAATAAATTTCCTACATTCCAAATTTAAAAGTACTGTATACACTCACTACATTTAGTCTTTGATAAACACATACTTCTTATCCAGTAATCATTTAATTAACAATACTCAGGTTAACAGCAATTTTTGGAGTTCACTTCTCAGGCTAATGAAGAGGAACTGAAAACAAGCTGAATGTTGAAGCAAACTAGACAAGGGTCAGAGAGTTAACAGTGATTCTTTTAGCAAGCTTTCACAGTCCAAATAGACTGTAGCTCGATTTGTAAGAAGAATGTATCGATTTTTGTTTTCAGCAAAAATTGGTTTTAAAAACATAGGATAATATAGGATTAAAATAAAATGTTGGTAAAACACAATATCATCAAAACAAACAAAAAAACCTGTCCTTGTCAAACTGGAATGTGCAGTTGGAATGGGAAATAAAATAATGTTTTTTATTTAACTTTGTAAAATTTTTAGAGTTCCATATCACCCAGTAGAAAACTATAATAATGCCATATAAGAATTCCTGTAACCCAGTTGGACAGCTGGGTCATGCAAATATATTATTTTGAAGTCAATTTCACAGCAGATGAAATCTGATCTATAGGAAACAAAGATGAATAATGTAACAAAAATAAATACATCATTTATTTTCTAAATTTTAAACAACATACAACAACCAAATCAGTGAACTATTCTCTAATAAGGCAGAGGGGGAGATTGCCAGCCAGTGAATAACACTATGAAAATTTACCCCAGATGAGGTTCTTCTCCATTGTCCAGCTACAATTAGTCTCTTCCCCCTCCCCCTCCCAATATTCCCAAATTTTAAAAAATCCATTTGGTTAAGTGGGTAAATATTGTATAAAATCTGATGACTTGACTCTGGACATCTTCCTAAGAGGGAATAATAGATGGATTTTTAAAAATGGGCAACGTCCACTTGTTTCTTTTCATTACATTTCAGATATGCAATTCCCAGGTCCTGAAGTGCCTTCTAAAACACAGCCGTTCCTGGCGGGCTTTTGTTGTTTGAATGATCGAAAGATCTCGGAGGACAGAAATCAATAAGGGTGGGGAGGGTTGTTGCGAGATACGTTTAACTTATTTCATCTTTGGGATTGGTTCGCCTTGCCAACACAACGGGAGAGTCGCCGCGGTTCTGCTGGTAAGCAGAACTGGGAGCCCACGACCAATTCTATTGCCCGCTCCGTGAAAAGCCCCCGGTGCCCACCGGCAGAGACCGAGACTGGGCTGCACACAGAGCTCAACTTCCTCCGCTGTGACAGGGCCGGTCTCTGCTGCTCTCAGCGCCCCTTTGCGGGGTGGGGGATAGAGCAGCGGCGCGGCGGAGAGCCTTCGGGGGCGGAGTGGGCGAGTCTCCCTGCAGCGGGCGGTGGGTGGCTGCCTTGGCACGGGCAGGGGGGCTGGCCGGAGGGCGCGGGCGGCGGCGGCGGCGGGGGAGGAA